TTCCATCATCTCTCATAAATAACCGACCTGGGCCCCAGGTTGGTAAGCTTGCCAATGAACAAATCATTTTCCCCCCAGTTTGCTCCAGGGCGGACAAGGCGGCATTAATTGCCGGTAAAAGTGCTGGCTCCGGGTTTTTAATATGGAGAAACAGTGTCGGTATTTGGGTTAATAGGGACGATATAACATGCCTAGACACTAGTTAGCACAGACGGAGGGAAGGGAAAAAGGTATCGGTTCACAGTACTTTGATTCGTATGGATCGACGAAAAGTCCTTCACTCAATGGAACAAACGGTTCGTCAAGATCCGCCATAACAATCATTTGGGCTTGTTCGAGGCGGGCCTGTATCCCTGCGTAAGCATTTTGATATTGGAAAAGCTAAACTGCTAAACATACGCTGAGGTTATAAAATTGAACTTCTTTATCGAAAGTAATTATTCCGACTTTAGAGCCTTCGGGGAGTTTCTTTGGAGGTGTACCATCGTCTTCTGGTGATTCATCATTATTGTTGTTGCCCCCATATAAAGCTGCCATTATCCCCTCACAGCAAGCCTCCAAAAACCCCCGAGTTACCGCTTCTTGCGAAACGTCGATCAAGAACAGCCAGCGTATCCCAACAGGAACTTTGCCCCAATATTCCTTCGGAACCATATATTCAACTGTCCCCAGCATTAGTTCGGGTCGTTGCATGCGGTCAACGCGAACCCCTGAGGGATCTAGAGGTGAAAAATACTCCGATGGTACTTCGTTTGGAAAGGCGCACATGTTGCATACGAATTTATTACCACCTGATCTGAACATCATAAACGGATTAATATATGCTCTGCACCTTCTACATCTTGGAGGACCAGCGTCACCAAAGTCCAAGACAGGGATGGGTTGCTCGCCAGCGTCTAAAGCGGCAAGGGGTTGTAGAACCATGCCAAGGGGAAGTGCAGTGGAAGAAAGAAATTCGACAGTTGATGGAATATTATTGAGAGTAAGCCGGGCGAACTTCGGGGAGGAATTGCCTTGATCGTGAGCAATAAAAGGGATTGCGGCAGGAGGGGGTATGTGACGTTCCATTGTAGGATATATATGGTCTTGGTAATACTGAGCGGCAATATCGCGTGCAATTGGAATACCGGGGACTTGTTCTGGGTCAACTTTCCCTTGTGTATGTACGGAGCCATCACCAGCAGAAGAGAATGTCGGTTTCGGGGTTGCACCAAAGGAAGGTTGTCCCGTCCGTAATGAGTTTTGCAGGCTAGAAGAAGATATATCGGAATATGAGGACCCGGGTCGAGGTTGGTGATTCATTCCGGGATTGAGGAATTGAGATTGACTCTGCATTCCTCTTTGTGGCAATCCATTAAAAGCATGCAGAGTTGGAGACGGAGCCCCAAAGTCATGATACGCATGTCGATCCTTCTTTTTGTGAGCACGAACACTTCCGCCCATATCTCCACTGATCCCTAAGCCGCCCATTTGCGATGTCAGCCTACCCACCGCACCGGGTCCTTCATCAAATCCACCAGATGAGGGTGGACACCCGGTTGAGCCCATGGGCATCGGGGGAGCTTCATAAGGAGCCTCATTTTGGTGGTAGCCCGGAGGGCCTTGGGCGATCGGAGGGTTAAATTGCGGTGGAGCAGGCTGTGTTCTTATCTGAGAATTCAGCTTGTCTTCTTCACCCTGACCAAGCGAATGATATGTCGAAAAGTCAGCCATGATGCTTCCGCGTTCGAATACCAAAGCGGTATCGTGAAGAAGAGATCAAGTGGGGTTTTCCGGCAGCAGTTCGCGGGTATCCGCAATTGCTACTCCGCTATATCATAGCCAGGAAAAGTGCGGAAGCTCAACGTGTGGATGTACCGGGCGTCGAGAACTGCTGCTGGCTGACTTGCGATGCGGAAACTGACCACATAGCTTGTTCATGCACGGGAGAAACCTTAAAGCCCGGATTTATGTGACGCCGAAACGACTTTCACGTGATGTTCTCTGCCCAGCTTAAATGAAGCTACCCCTTGATCTGGAACAACAACATACAAACCACATACTATTGCATACCACTGCAGGCTTCTCAAATGTTCCCGGAAAATGTTATGTTAATGGCTACTGAAAGATGCTACTTGATTTGAGCTATCCTAGAATCCCTGGATGTGGTAACAACGCCTTTTCCAGGATTGAACCTTGACGATAACTTTGCAACCTTCTCCGAACGACAATTTACGACGATTACTGGTGAATCTTGGGGGATCAAGGTCGAATGCCGTGCTCAAAGTCATCAACGAAATGTATTGTGAGTTGAGGACTCCACAGCAGTTTTCAGCCAAACCGTCGTTCCCACCTTACTCCAGGTAATGCGGAAAACTTATGAAACGTTGCTCGGTTTTTTGCGGACAAGTTTTGTCTTTGTCCACTTCGATCATAGAAATAGCAACAGAATGCAAATCTGATGGCAAGGTTAAGGAAGTGGCACAAAACTCTCCAGAAAGTCTTAATGACTCCGTGACCTGCTTTTCTTTATTTAAACTTATAAGTAGGTGTCACCACCTAAGGAGAGCACAAAAGTTCCTACTTGGGAGAAAAACAACCTTTAATGAAAAACGCGTGGCATCGTGTTTACCCCAAGGTTATACTGTCCATGCATACTCACTGCCACTTCTCAAATTTTAGACAAAATTCGGCAATGCAATTACTTGTATATGCCATGTTATCCAATTTCCCACCATGCATTCAAGATGCGGAGTCTAAATCGTTGAAGATCTATTCAGAAGCTAACAGCCTAAACTAGCGGGGACGGATACGATGTTTCTAGCCCTCTGAAGACCGTCCATTGTGATATCCCCTTAACGAAATAAAAAGTACCCTGGTACAAAATGCTATAAGTTATTTGAACCAGCGCAGGGAGGAGGCATATTGATGCCACGGTTTTTCCGCAACCGAATATGGACAGTTGCTAAGATTTTAAGCTGCTCACCTTTCCGGTAGCTATTTATATGAATTTCTGCAAAGCATCCGGTCTTAGCCGGATCATTGCAGTAAATTACTTCTCAACCCTTCTTTTTGTGTGGGAAGGCTTCACCCTCACTTCAATTACTCGAGTTCTATAGCTGATCACTTGGACGGATGCTGGATACAACCACACCTAAAAAGTCTATGAGTGCTTAGGTATCAGAAATCTCCAATTGATGCACCTTAGTGTAGCATTTGCTTCATTGATGTTAGCACATGACTGGTTATTTTAGTTACCCTTAATTTTCACAATTTTTGATTGAAAATTAGGGACTTGCAAGGCCCATCAGTTTATGTCGATGCTGACATGAATTTCCTTTTTTGTATGATTGACACAACATAACCAAAAGCCAACGCATGTTGCTTTGTGCTAATATTTTGTTTTCACAACGCAGTTTGGTTTTTTGGGAATGTTCTCTATTTTATGGGTGGATCATAACCGATAGGGAATGGAGGTCGGATTGAATGGAAGTACCCAAAGAATCCCCATGGCCAATATATATATATATATATATATTAAAAATTAAAATTAAAATTAAAAATTAAAAATAAATAAAAAATCTCGCAAAGTATTCATGGATTCACTCGAATAAGAAAATGTGGCTTTCTTTCCGTTGGCTCCAGATGGCAGGACTTGTCTCTTATGGGGATAACAATTTTGATTCCACGAAACGAAAAGTCTGCTCAACTGCCACTCTGTATAGAATTAGCGGGCTGCTAAATAAATCTTTAACGAGGATATCTTACCAACCACTTTCTTGCCATTCATATTAATATTTAACCAAGAACTAGGAGGCCCTGGACAGCTCAGGGCCTCCGGGCATGCCAGGAAAACAATGGATATGAGAAGTGTTATTTGCTGCCATTTCGTTCCGCTCATGCCTTCGGTTCTCCAGAAAATCGGCGGCCCTTTAAAAGTTCAAAATTTAGGATTATTTTCAATTGAACATCTTAGAAACTCCAATACCTCACTTTCATGCATTTATCCTATAGGGGAGTGTGTTCATCTCACCCACACCCCTAAAGTGCTAATCATACCAAAACAGGCTTATAGAGAATACTGTACTTCACAAGTCTGGAAATGACATACCTAGCCTTGCAAGATAGATAAAGTCACGCTTGGTCTCATACTTTTTCTTTCTAGAAACAGAAGAGTCCACTAATTTATTTTATATCATTCTATGTCCAATAAGCACAAGGAGCGAACACTGAAGAACCTCAACGCATCATGGAAGAATATGCATGATTACATGTCCTTCCCCGCCTTAACTATGTGGGGACAATGGCTTCTGGTGGATGAGCAGTGCCATACCTTCTGCTTGACATCCTACATGGCTGCAGGATCACCGGGTTTGTCTTCTAACCGCTCCACAGTTCAAAATCTTTTTGTACCCAGGGTACTTACGTGTGTTCTCGAAGCATATAGTTGGGGATTAGGGTAACAACATCATGCTGCAAAATGTATCTTAGTTAGATCATACGCAGGAGGAACTGGGTGCGGAAGAAAGTTAAATAAATAATCCGCTCGCATCCCGATGACTTGTAAAAGGTTTTACCTTACCAGCTCTGGGCCTTTTGAAGGAGGTGTGGTACCTGGCACCACTAGTGATAAAGTGAAAACGGCTCCAATTTCATCATTATTAGCCTTTCCAGAAGTTCCTCAGCAGTTTTATGATGAATGCTGATCAATCAATCTATATATTGTCAATTAAAGAAGCACAAAAGCTGCTTGAAATCCACCTCGAAACACGCACAGAGTGTTTGGACATCTCGTAAGATGATCGCCACCAATCCCCCACCTATGTTGTAGCTGTTGGCGCGTCAATGCGACGCTGCACGATTGGTCTGGTTATGGGTGGATGTTGGAATAGTCATCCTAGTGACACTAATGTGCGGGCCACAATATTAGTTTCGACCCATCTTTAGAGTCTACTCGACGATCCAAGATACCTGAAACAATGCTAACGGGGCCACATGTCTATCGACCTTGGAATGACATATCAAATCTGGGTCGGATGAACTCGCGTTGTCACCACGAGGATCAGAGGAGAAAGTAGTGAAAGCAATCCATGGATAGCAGATGGCACTGCAGTCTGCAGGGCCGCAAAATTTTGAGATGGGGGGTTCTTCGATCCATGTTGCTGGTGGGGTGGGTTTGGACTAAGACGGTGATAAACCCGAGAGCCACTCATCCCTGTCGACGCCAGATTCGCTGCCGTGCCGCAAAATTTTGAGATGGGGTTCTTCGAATCATGTGTGCTGGTGGGGGTTGGGTTGGACTAAGATGGTGATAAACCCGAGAGCCACTCATCCCTGTCGAACGCCACAACCTCCATTTCTCCAATCGCAGACAGGGGGCCCGAACGGTTGCTTGTCAGACGCCCCGGAAGATACCTAGACCCAACCGAGCTCGAAGTAGCTCCTGGCTTTCTGAGGAAGACAACACCCATTCCCACAACTTCCTCTTCCCATTTCCAGGTATATACTTGTTTCTCTGGTTTACCTGATGCCATCAGAGGCACTCCACTGGCCCCTCCGGCTATTCTTCCCTGGACGTGGGCTGTGCTAGCTTCTCCGATAATCAACTCGATTAAAAACAAAAATATTTTGTGTTTGAAAAGCGGTAAGTTGATAAAGATGGTAAAGAGCGTCATCTCATGCTGGTCTGGAAAATATTCTTCTCTGACGCCGCGTATCCTTTCCAAGTCACCCTCATAACACCCCGTGTGTAATCTATCAGGGAATATGGCTCTAATTTCCAGCGAACAGCCATTGAACGGAAGAGGTGACGGGGAAACTGAAGACAAGGAGATACCCATCAAAGGTATTCCTGAGGTGGTTTCTTCTACAATGGCTACGATACAGGACGACGATGAGCGACTGCTGGCGCGAATAGGATATAAACAGGTCTGTTTTATTTATTATGTTTTGTTCTGTTTTTTGAGCGGTAGCGTCTCACCTCCAAGCCATTCCCTAACGAGAACTGGACTCTTCTGATTAATTTCTTTAGGAGCTGAGGAGAGAGTTTTCAAAATGGTCTACAATTTCCTACGCAATCTCCATTCTTGGAGTTCTTGGTTCTGTTCCGGCAACCTTTGGCCCACCTTTGGCTGCTAGTGGTCCTGCTACAGCAGTATGGTGCTGGTTTATAGGATCCTTTATGGCCATGTGTATCGCTAGTTCTGTTGCTGAACTTGTGTCAGCATATCCCACGGCTGGGGGAATGTATTTTGTAACGAAGCACGTTGTACCTCCAAATCAAGTTGCAATATTTTCCTGGATCCAAGGCTGGTGCAATTTGCTTGGACAGACTGCTGGTGTATCCAGTGTTGCATATACCGTAAGCCAGATGCTGCTGGCTTGTGCAAGTATGAACTCTTCCCTAGACAACGGGAAATACTCATATTCGCCGTATGTTCTATCTTCATCTTGTCAGCAATCAGCGTATATCTGATATATCCCCCTCCTCTTCTCTGACCTTTTGCAAATATGATGTGTATCGCTATAGATTCTGGATATATTTGCTAACATGGTATGTAGGACTGCCCTTCAAACCGTACTTTTATCTATTGCATTACTGTGCGTGATGGGTGTGGTGTGTTCTTTGACCACCAAAAGTTTGCACAGAATTGTCCTGTGGTTCGCCCCAATCAACAGTATGATTTATGATTACCCTGGCCGAATGCGTTTAACGAATATTTTCGTCTCACTGAAATTACAGTTCTTGCTTCAATTGCCATTTGTATTGCACTCTTAGTCCTGACACCCGATAAACAGTCCGCTAAGTGGGTGTTCACCAATGTGACGGATGGTTCCGGGTGGAATTCAAGGGGGTTCTCGTTTCTTTTGGGATTTATATCTGTGGCTTGGACCATGACTGATTACGATGGGACAACTCAGTAGGTGCTTTTATGGGAACGCATATTGATATGTTACTAAATGTTACTTATTTAGTATGTCAGAAGAGACCCATGACGCTGCGATCCGTGGCCCCATGGCTATTCAAACAGCCATCCTTGTATCGGGTGTTCTTGGATGGATGCTAACTGTTACGATGTGTTTCTGTTTGACTGATTTGGATGTGATATTAAAATCTCCCACTGGCCTACCAGCTGCCCAGATATTCTTTAATGCTGGTGGACGAACCGGTGGGACTATAATGTTTTCATTTTCCATTCTTGTTCAAATTTTCACTTGCTGCTCTGCCATGCTTGCTGATACCAGAATGGCCTATGCTTTCGCACGAGACGATGCCCTTCCTTTCTCAAAGTACGAAATGCCTAATTTTATATTTTGCAGCATTTATATCATATGGAGATAACCTAACGTTCTTATAGATTCTTTTCGCAGGTTAACCCATATACATTAACACCCGTCAATGCCGTCTGGTTTGTGGTTTTCTTCAGCATTTGTTTAAACTGCATTGCCATCGGATCTACACAGACAGCTACAGCCATATTCAATATCACAGCGCCTGCCCTTGACTTGTCGTATGTCGCCGTTATACTGGCCCATCAACTATATAAAAATCAAGTTCGGTTTATCGAAGGGCCGTTTACGCTTGGGAAATGGGGAACACCTTTGAACACTATTGCCATTGCCTGGGTGCTATTTATTAGTGTGGTCCTTTTCTTCCCTCCTACTAGGCCAATCACCCCACAGAATATGTAAGGCCACCTTTGAAGAGGGTGTCAATTCCAGATATACTAACATTGCATAGGAATTATGCTATATGTGTGGCTGCATTTATAGCACTGTTCTCACTTTCATGGTGGCGGCTTTCAGCTAGGCGGTATGTAATTACTACTTTTGGCGCCTTGGGCCATTTTCCTCTTTACCCTTTCGAACAAAACACAAAATTCACCATCTAACTTCTCATTAAGAAAATACACTGGTCCATGTACCAAGGACATACTCCAGGAAGTTGGGACTGAAGACATAGACAACCCCTACGGGACTGCAATTGATTTCGATGCATGAACGATCCCCTTTCGTACACGGATTCCACGATATATTGGCCTGACAGTCCCATATTTTTCACATATCAGTTTTCCTGTCCAAAATTTCGCTTTCTAACTCACAACGCAATTGAAAATTTGTTTCTTTCGGCTAGATTCTTTCGGATGTGGAGGTTCTTCAATCCCTTATACTATCACATCCTTCATTTCGCAGCACACAATATTCGATACCTATGCAAACTAGTCCTTTCCCAACAAACTCTCCACACCATGGAATTTGATTAAAGATAAAACAAAACGAGTTGATATTAATCGACTATAAAGTCAAATTGAGACGACGATGAATAGCATGATACGTTTTGCCAAAAATACCCCAACAGCCTCCTCTTCTATTCTTGCTTCCTCCCATATATGACGTGAATCTTGCCATATATGTGATTCGATCGGTTTTGGAGGTCATTTTTTACAGCCTCCAGCAAGATGTCAATTTCCTTCTTATCCCACTTGAGTACGCGTGTGAAGAGAGCGAGGGTATATGCTTCCAAGGAGGCGGTAAGATGGAGCTGCTGGTATTGAGCAATTTCTTTCAGTTTCTTATTCTTTGGCCATGGAGAGACTGGAACCTACAGGTAAAAAGGTCAGTTGGTTTACGTATTGTTGATTTCATCTAGGCTTCAGATTAAAATTGAGGGCGGGGGGGCCAAAAAGGAAATAAGAAGTGGTCACGGCAGTTTAACTCCATTTTCTTTTCGAAATGACAACAAACCAACATACCTTGTAGACGTCATTCTTAATATCCACAAATCCTGCCTTCGCCATCTTCTTTTCCCACGTTCCCTCCACATCGAGAGGCTTACCAAATTTATTGCTCGCCTCAATCAAGAGATTCTTCCATTTGAGAGCGCTCTGAGCGTTTTCCAGAGTGCCGTCGTCCGAGAAAAATCCAGCTTCGAAACTCTGCATCTCAAGGTATCCTCCTGGTTGTAGATGCTTGAAAGCTTGAGCAAACAGATTATCAAAATCTTTAACTGAGCCGGCCATGTTACGACTGTGAATATAATTAAATGCCTTCGACGATTTATATGGCCATTCCGTTTCAACATCATCAATTTCGAAGGAACAGTTCGGTGGAACCCTGAGATATTGCAGTGAGACAGTGTTGTTGAGCGTTATGACATATGGGTGATATACCATGTTGGCTGAATCGGACTTAGATCAGAACCTAAGAGATTTCAATTTGGGCCCAAGATAAGTTATCTTCCTGATGTTGAGGATTAAGAATAAATCAGGGGTGTCACCAACCGATAACCTTGGATTCGGGGTGTTGGCTGCATCCAAAAGATTAGCGTTGATTCGAACGGCGTATTACAACATAACATTTCCACTGACTTCGCGAAATCGATTGCCCAGTTTCCATTTCCGGTGCCAAAATCAAGGACACGTTTTGGATTCGGTTTCAGAGGGGCACGGTAGAGTTCTCCGGCAAGAATCATGCGATAGATATGATGCTCCTGACTCCAAGGGTTAGCCCGTTCCAATCTTGGACAGAAAGAGCCATTGTTATTCAAGAAGGTCTCACCAGGTCCATACGGATCTGTTCTGCCTCATCATTTGGCTACCGTTGAAGTTTAGTGGTTGTATTCGAATTTGCTTTGCATATGCCAGCACACGCACTAGAACATACGCTCCTTCGTGGAAGGCGTGATATCTGCGTCCGTTCTGATGCGCCGCGAGAAGAGATTTAGCCTGAGTAACTCGTAACCGTTTGTTGGATTGAGCGACTTCGCACCTCATATCTGCAGTGCATTAGCTGGCTAGAAACCGGCAATTCATGTTGAAAACTGGCTCCTTGACTTACTTATAGTTTACAACACATGAATCGATCGATGTCGCATATATAGTACTATTAACTCTGCCCAGGAAAATGCAGGCTATGTCAGTTAACTACGCAAAAACCAAGAAAACCCTGAAAGATGAATGATTCTCGCTTGAGCGTACTCACGACTCTTCATACAGAGTAACTCCATCGTCAATTGTCTTCTGTAAATAAGTCGTCAGCTTTCAGCCTGACGACCGCTCCTAATACAACACTCACGTCAATTTCGATAGCTGCGACACCGTCAGAGGTCATATTGTGCGCCATACTTCCAGTTACTCAAGTTGGAGGGATGTGAGCGCCTCGGGTAGACATATACGAGGGGGAGTATGCCAGGGACGAACGATCCTGCCTCCTCCTTTCAAGGGACCTGTTACGTTGTTATATAATTCGAAACCAGCACGTCAATGAGTTTGGCCTTAGCGGGATGCTAGCATGGCACATATGCACATTGTGCGGGAGGGTAACGTTCCACCGCATCCGATTTTTCCATTTAAGGCCTATCACTTCGGGCGGCAACGCCAAACGCTTAAAGGAGGCGCGAAGAGATCTTTAAAAGACATAGCCGCAGCTCTCTCATTGCAAATTAAACCTTTGCCAGAGGTTGCTAGTGGGGGGTTTAAAAAGCGGGCAAGCCACAGCCCTAGGCACAATTTCGGCCCTGACATCTGCGACTATGAGTGGTCACAACTAGGCAAAAGACACGAAACTTTTGCACATGGCTTGCGTGTTCGGGCCCATAAGAAATTGAGATCTCAACCCATGCAGTAGTTTATGGGTTTAGTGGATTTTCGACGTCGATCCCTTATTACTGGAAACCATCTCAACAAGTGGGAAAATCGATATTCTGCGGACTTTCGCTTGATCGCCCAACAGTTGAACCAACAAGGAATACGTTTAAGTTGGGTCCAGGGCTAATTGGTTGTGGCAGAATCATGGGTAGATACATAGGCGCAACAGCACAGATATGCCGCTAGTACTTAGAAACAGAGACGACGGTACGGAGTAATATAGTATGGAGCTTACGAAACGCATTAACCCGCCAAAGACCTAACGCCCTAGACCCCCCCTCCCTCGTTGTTTTCTTTCCCTGATTATCGCGGGAACTATTCAGCTGAGACTGGGGCCTGGCTGAAATCAGGCGGCCGATTCCCAGCGCTCTCCCTGTCTCTCTTGGCCCCGACAATTAAAAGGCCACACAACTGCAAACGACAGAGAACGGAAAAGAAAGGAAACAAAAAGCCGAAACTAGTGGTTGATTGGCATGTAACCTTCCATCGGGGGAAGTGTTTGGACAAGCGTCTCCTTGAATCTAAAGGGAAGTGTAATCGATGCCCTATTATCGTTGCTTAATGCAAGACAGGAGAGTGGTAACTACCAGTGCAGATAGCCGATAGGTATAGCCAAACCAGATGAGAAGGCAATGATGGCAGTGTCAAACAACAGCGCGATATAGTTTGGGGGGTGCAAATGAACGAACGCGGATTCGAGGTATTTCTCTCTTGAAGATGACCGGAAATACGACCTTGTTATTGGTGATGGACAAAGGGAGGGAGAGCTAAGCTAACTATATACGCGCTACGTGCGATCAACGTGCGGCGCTGCGACCAGCCCAGCAACGGCTAAACCCACATACGCCCCAACAGAAATGTCTAGATTACTTGTCAGTTACGAAGATAAATAAATGGATCCAGGAAAGAGGGCGAAGTTAATGTTTTCGTCCTCTAGCTATCTGATTAATACTAACTGCATTCTATGACTCTCTTAAGATCGTTGCCGATATTGCATTAAGGCAATTTGTTTGACAAATTGTATGTCGGTTTTGGCTCCCGCCTGGCCAAAAGCTTGTTCAATATCTCTGAAAGAGGTGTGTTTACAGGGCGATGATGTATCATCATCAAAGGGCACGTATGCGTTGCATACGACTGGACTTTCAAAGGCATTATAAAGCTTCTTCCGAATGTACTCTGCAACCTCGTTCCTCCAGAATCTTCAACCACTAGAAAGAAGCCTGCGAGATTGCTTCCATTTCAGTAGATAGAAAACTCAAAAATGGATTACAAAGATAAAGGATGTCTGTCTGTCACAACTTTTTGTACTGTATAGTAACTGCTGCGGGTATTTTCTATGGGGGTTTCATACCCATATTCAATCAAAACATCAAATACAATGCCATTGATGTTAACTATAAAAATACGGGGGCACTATAACAACGGGTTTAGACTAAGCAGAAGCCATGCAACACAAACTCTCTAAAAGATCAGAAACAAAAGAACCATTAACAATGATAAAGTCTGAGAAAGAGAACACAAAGGACATAATAAAAACAACCAACTTAGTGCTAAAAGTTGCAGGTACATAACAAGGGAAATAAATACTGCAGATTCAGGGAGGGGGAAATATAATTGGGAAAAAGTAAGAAATGATGTAGAGAAAGGAAGTTAGCTCAAGCAGAATGTCACAGATGTAGATCAACTATGCAAGTTATATGTTCGCTTGCAGAAACAAAGCACGAGTAAAACAAGTTCAAAGAGAGATAATCACAAAACTCCAAAAGTGAAACCGGATAACCAACACCACACCCCCGAAGGGTCTATTGAACAGCGTAGACAAGAAAGAGAGAATGTAATGAAACAGCAACAGCAACAGCGAAAAGAAAAGAAGAAGAAGAAGAAAGAAAGAAAGAAAAGAACCGAGGACAAAACTCATGCCAAGCTAAGGGACCTTACAAGCCAAACTGGATTGGCCTCTGTCCGATGTTCATTCCAACCAACGGCCTGAAGACTCTGACCGACCTTGTTTCGCATCGCCAGAGCTTCCCCTCTCCCTTCCCCAACAAAATATTCTTCTCCCTTAACCCAAAATGCCATATTCGCATTGGCCTGCTGCAGGCATTCAATGAGACCGCGGCCCTTGATAGCTGCGTCGGATGGGCATAGCTGCCTAATCAATTCTGCCACCGTCATGCGGGTTGAAACCTGGTACCGTGTGAATTGGATAGGTGCGGACTGGTCCTCCCAAGGGTAGTGGTATCGGGGGTTGAGTAAATGGATGGTCGTGGTGTCTGGTGGGAATATATATCCCTGGCCACCGGGCATAATAAGTGGATTGGCCGTACCCGGTATCATCGCGCCGTGAGGGGTTTGCGGGTTTGGGCCATGAGTAAAGATAGTGGGGGGAGGAAGCGCTGGGGCTAATTGAAGTGCAGTATGTTGAACTACAAACTGTTGCGCGGGTTGGGTTTGGGGGATAACCATGTAGGTGGGGCCGACTGTGTAGGCATTAGGAGGGCTGAAATAGTACGTGAAACACTAGGTGGACCACCGGAGGGAGGCCCGTACCTGGAGGTGTAGGTGTTGGTGGGAGAAGTGCTAGTTGGAAGAAGACACCTTGGGGAGGGGCTGCTGGTGCAAAGACGGGTATTAGTCCCGACGCAGGAGGCTGGGGCAGCGGCTGGGGAAGAGGTGCTTGTGCAAAGGTAGGCACCAGACCTGGCACATGAACTTCTTGCGGCTGCGCTTGTGGAAATGTTGTCGGCAGAGGCAGTCCTCCATTTGGAGGCTGTCCATCGGTCGTTATATAACGTATTTCAGCCATTATATACAGCGTATCTATATATATATGTGGATATGGATATGGATTTGAATATCGCTGATCGACAAGGTACACTGAAGGAGCGAATAAAGCAGCTGGTGATCAACGTTAGTAGAACGGTCTGCAATGAGTGTTGAAGGCGCTGAGGAACCACTTGTATAGATATCAAGACAGATATAGAAGTAGTTGACTTATATAAAATGGGGCTTTTCATGACCATGGAAAGAGAGTAAAAAGTATAGAAGTAAGTCAGGAAAGGCATGAGTATTTATAAGGCCAGAAAGTCCGAGCCCAAGAGTGTGTGAACATATCTTCAACTTCACAAGTCATACAATAGGTGAAAAATAAAGAAAATAGAAAAATAAAAATTTAAAAATTAAAACATGACCATGGGACATCTTCACAGACAGTAGTATAAAATTATCAAGTGGAAGAGGAATTCTTTATCCTCACTGAAAGATGTGTATCAAAAAGTGAAAAGAACAAAAACTTGATACAAGAAAGAGAACCCTTTGTCATCATCAAAAAGTTGCTTGTTCGACAAATGAATGAGCAAGTCAACAATAAAACAGCTTATAACAAAACATAGCAAAAACATTTTGTTAATAAATTCAATGTCAAACATATTTAGGTCGCATGAAGATGTTGCATGAATATCACAAATGAGCCCAATAACAATGGTCAAAGAAAAAGAAGTGAATTTGCCCGGTATATACCACTAGAAGGACGAGAATTTTTTTTTTTTTATCCTCCTGCAACAATCGCCAAGCCTTCGTAAATTTTCTTCTTAACTGCTAGAAAACTTCCCTCAGCACGTTTCACGGCTGAACGGTTAGAGAGAGCGGATTGAGCGGCGCCCTCGATTTCAATTTTCCCAATCCCAGATTTCCTTACAGCAACAAATCCGTCGATTAAAAGAGTACCTTCACCACGAAATTCCGCAGTATGGCCTGAGGATTGCATAAGTTTACGAAGGTCGGCCAGTCTGAGGTCTCCAACATGAAGTGGTCGAGTCACGGACCTTGTCGCCGCAGCCATGTTGGCGGGTAGAACATCTAGAAGTGGAAAGCTGTCCTTCTTGGGAGTCAATGGATTCTGCTTGTTCTCCCCTGTGCCAGGAGAATTTTCTAGTAGCATCTTTTGCTTCTTTTGGGACATCTCTGGACCATTTTCGTCGTCAGAGGCAGGCTCTGGTCCTCGCAACTCTCCCATGAGGGCAACGACTCCTAAACTTCTAACATTTTGCCACTTTAGAAGTTTGACCAAGCCTTTGCTTAGCTTTACCATCCAGGCGTTCGTGTCGACGCTTGCATCCACCGTCTCGCCAGGTGCAGGCGTGAAGATGTCGACAACTGACTCACTAGACAACCCTAGTTCTATTCCAGCTTTCGCTGTCAGCAAATTCCGACATTCAGCAGCGAGAGCCATGGTTTCGTCCTTGAGACCGGCGGTTAAGATTAACTTTCTCGGTTGTATCAGAGGAATGAGCATTTCCAAGCTCCGTTTATCATGTAAACCAGCAAAATCTACAAAAGCGATGCGCGCATTCAATTCCAGTGTTGAATGAACAAAAATCACCTTGGATGGGCCCTCGACAGGCTGCTCTTCAGTGTCTTCTTCAGATGAACTTGCGTTTTCAGTGCCGTTGATTCCAAGTCCACCAGCAAGCGCCAAATCTCCGCTGATATCCTGTAAATCTCCGGTGCCAGGTGATACGTGCTGCCGTTTATTTGCATTTGGAGGTTGTTTACCATTAGCGTTAAGTTCCCCCCATCTTCGCTTCGGGCCAAGTCTGGTTTGGATACGTCCATCTGGACCGCGTTGTGTCTGCATTTCAGCTTCTTCCCGTTCCTCAGCTCTCAGATATTCTTCTGGTCGTATAAATTCGCCATATTCATCTCCACGTTTTTTTGGAGCAACGTATGGAAACATTCGTTCGCGGCCCTTTTTACCGCGGACATCATAATCGTGAACATTTTTCCGTCGTAAGAGAATGTTAACACCCAGGTCAGCGTCGCTCAAGCCTAGCTTATTCCTATTGGAGTGCCCAAGGGAAACCGAGACGTTAAGCACCTTTCCTTGTTGTTCTGAGTCAGAGTCTTCAGAAGACGACGAACTGGATCCATCATCAAGTGTATCGGCCGTATTTTCTAACCCAGAATCTCCAATACCTTGAGAGGTATTTTGTAATTGCCTTTGTGTAGCCAAATACTGCTGATACATAAGAAGCTCGCTGGCATCTAAAGCACTCTTTTCAACGTCAGTGACAGATAATTTGCTTCCGCCGCTATGAACCTGCTCTAGCAGCTCTCCACTAGCGGTTTTTTCTGAAGCGACTCCATCCCTTCGTTCTTCATAAATAGACCATATCTTGTGAGCTAGTGAGGATCTCGACCCTCCATCTTCTGTACTCTGCGCATTGGCCGAAATAGGATAGGGCTCAGTTAAAATAATAAGATTCTCAGACCCCGCAGCTATTTTTTGCAGGACGTGCTTAGAATATCCCCATTCAAGAGATGTGTCAGACGTTAAAATTACTTGAGGCGCGTTTGATCCTAGAATTTTATCAAGCTTGGTTTTGCGTTCCACAATTTTAAGGTGCCTGAACGTAAACGGGCCAAGACCTTTAGATGCGTTATCGCCCTTTTTATCAGGGATGGAAGCTGGAGCGTTTCGCTGGCTAGGACCATCAGAACGGCCTTTACCACCACCAGTGACAGGGTCTCTGCCGTGTCCCGCCTCAAATTCTCGAACGATACCTTCATCCATCCACTCTAGCATGCTTCGTGCAAGCCGCATCGTACCGTGGGCTTTCCTTCCAGCTAGGTATAGGCCTACGCCCTTTAATGGGTCCTCTCCATCTGCCGTCTCAGCTGATTCTCGCCATGCATGTTCCAAAACATATGCCAGTTCAAGAACACGCGCACTGGTATCCATCGGTATGAGGACAGTTCCACCTTTGGAAAAGCAACTCCGCAGCATATCCAAGAGAAGGTCATCTCTTCTCTTCCTCCCCCCAGAGAGGACAAGTTTATCTCCGCCTCTTGTGCTGCACACCAACGCTGTTGGTTTCCTCAATTGTTCAACAACTTCTGTTCCGCTCCCTCCGCTCCCTCCAAACCAAGAAGCACCAGCAATGACATTCTCTCTTGCTTGATTCCAGTCTACTGCATAAATAATGGATTCCATGCCATGTTGGATATGCCATATAGTACCTCCAACTGTATGACCAGCGTTATATGCCGTGAGGGTTAAACCGTTGAGAGGAGGAGAAAATGGGGAAGGCAAAGGTTGATGCGGTTGAGAATACTTCAATGGCTGAATGAGCGAGAAATATCGAGCAATTTCTTCCGTTGAAGGTGGAGGTAGAAGTATCCGGGGCCGTTCGTTCTGGTCTGTATCAGCAGATTCTGGTGAAATTGCAGCTCTAGAAGCTGCCGCTGACGTTGGGGATGAAGCTCCAGCAGTGGCTGGTGGCCAAAAAGTTGCAGCAAGAGGCGCGGAGGCATAAAGATCTTGAAGTAGACTGCGACCGAATGCGATGACTGGACTAGTTGCATAAACAGGAATTTGTGTAAAAAGTGGAAATGTCTTGCAACAATGGGCAAATGCACCAATATGAGATGGCGTCGCATGGGTTAAAAGAATAAGTGAAAGAGTAGGGATTTGTCTAAATGTAAGGGAATAGAGGACACATCATTAGCCCAATGGAACAGTAGAAGCACCAGCAGGATACTGATACGTCCGTTGAAAAGTTCAAAGAAAAGCTCACCTTTCCAGCTCTGCAAGGGCAGATGTGTCAAAACTATGATCCCAACCAACGTCAACTAGTATCTTCACTCCACCATCAAGCTCTAATATCGACTGGACAGCTCTCGAGCTAGAGGATTGCGCCCCTAACAAAGGAGTAAAGGTGAACATGGTGTTGAGGAAGACGGGTAGCGTTCAAGCCAATCCCGTGAGGGCTTCACGGTGAAAGCAATATGATTACCATGCAGACAAAGGCAGATTATTGGATTTCACGGGAAAATTGGGGCCAAATCAACTCAAACCACCAGATGAAAAAGGTAAGCAAGAGATAGATCATAGGTCCGCCACCATTAGCGCGCAAATGACAATGTGTTCAATGGGGTCCGTTAGACAACGATATCAGAGCTTAGCGAAAATGAATGGACGTGGGTTTTGTAATCCAGGAGAACGCGAAGTTGATGCCACGGGATGTTCAGATGTTGCGCGATCTTCGCGATTGGAGCTGGAATGCGGCTCCTTTACAGATGTTAATTCGTGTTTTGTCTTGTTTGCATTTGTGCTTGGTCATCTAGTTATCAGATCATCTGATAACTAGTAAGCTATCCACTACGACTACCCGTCAACATCAACCTCATCTACAGAATAATGATAGATACTAAAAGAACAACAACAATCAAGGTGACTTTCTCGATATATCTCAGCTGTTCAATCTAAACCCCAATGTGCAGTTTTGCCGCCGGACTTTATTTCTTAAAGCACGGATATTCAAAGCATGCCTAGTTGGATTCCCTGTGCATTCCATGGGACCGTTGTTGAAGCCTCTGAGAGCGCTCCACAATACCTTGTGGTTTCTCAGAACCATTACCCAAATTAGATCCACATGACCCTCTAAATTCTATGGCGTACGCATATTCCCTGAACCTACCGTGTGGAAATGTGCATTTTCAGGCCAACTTGAAGAGTGATCGCTTCGATCCGCTGGGTAGGAAGTTGGACATGGCTGGGTAGCCCATTGCCATCCCGAGTACCGATATCTGATATTCCTCTGGATTTCCCAACCCGAGTGAAAGCAATTCCAGAGATGTACAATGAGCAAATATCAGCCCGAGAACATACCTCCTTACCTTGTTGAGTTGCAATCCAACTTTAAGCAGGGAATTCTGCCAAGGTTGAAACATGTGAGGTTAAGCTAACAGAATGGCTGACCCGGAAGTAGTTTAAATTCTCGAAACTGATAGTTACATTTTTTGATAACAAGGGGAAGTATTACCTAGGCTACAGGTATTCCCTGGTCCGAGATGTCCAAAAGATTAACTTGGGGAGGTGGGAATTAAGCTTTCCCCCGGGCTGAACCATTGCTCAGTCAAGCATCCAACTGGCTAACTAAACATAATCCAACCCCTGAGCCGGTCAGCAAATCTGCAACTAGCATATTTTATAGATATTAACCTGAAATATCTATGCTCAACTACCACGAATTAAATTAAATTAAAATGACACTAGGTTCAGGGCATATTAGTCTTGTGTGCTCAATTATGCTGCAATTGCTGCATCTTTGTGACACTCATGAAAATGATCTAGGCGTTAAGAGAGATGATGTGAGGGGGTAAATGACAAGCTGTGCAACAGGCTATAGCTCGTTTAACTTTTCCCAGCCGTGACGGGCACATTGCCAGATAAACACGTTGAAGAACGACTCGAGATCATGCCGGTAGGTATGATCAATATTAAGTAGCACATCAATTGCCATAAACTCCATCATGCTGCTGTGCGCCACTTCGCTTACTACCAACTTCTTTGGATAGATCCAGATCAGTTAGCATGCCTGAGTAACTATCCTCCTTGTCCGGATCAGTTATTCAATACTAGTGATGGTACTGTGGCCAATAATCCTTGCAACCACTTGGATTTTTTTTTTTTTTTTTGACCTCCTAGTTAGCTCAAGTTCATATTCTCTCCAGGTTCAGGATCCAAAACCTTGGCACGTTTATGGGGAACCTGGCCGCCCTCGGGAGTACAAGGGGCAGGCCGCTTGGTGCCGGGAAATGTAGAGGGCCCTGGAGCGGGAGTACGACGCTCTGGTGACTTGGATCTTTCAGGAAGGTTTCAATTTGGTTCGATGAGTTGTGATCTGTTCCTGCTGTTCCGTGGTGCTGCGTATTGGAGGTGTTGAGTTTGTGGATAACCTAAGTTGGCTGCTTGGGGAAACAAGATGGGAGAACGCCATAAAGCTATAGAAGATCGGAGAATAAAAGTGATGAGAAGATGCAAGCAAGGCGAACGCAATGGGTCAAGGGTTTCCTTTTGCCTACGATCATGTTGCTCCCCTTTTCGGTGTCCTTCCTCTTCATCTGAAAGGGGTACAATCCCATTGTCATTTGCTCATTCACGGTCACTCCGCAAAGACTGAATAGTCTTTGTTGATTGAGGTATTTGAAATGCACAACAGCAGGAAAACAGCATGAAGTGAAAGAAACTTAATTTTGTTGAATTCCTTAAGCTGTACACCGCTACAAGCAAAAAAGAGAATATGAAACAAACCTCTAAAACGCTGAGAAAAGAAGATAAACAAGTGAAAGAATAAGGGAACTTTCTTTCTAATAGAACAACTGTCTTTTATGATGAAGTAACTTTCTGTAATTTGGTGGTTTATTTGTGACAATCAACTTCTTCACTTAACTTATATCTTTTTAATAATTTCAAAGTGATGTTTTAATTTCCCCTTTTATTGCACACAATATACAGTTCACAATTTTATTCACTGAGAGGCTAATTTTTATTTTATTTTCTTTACAAATAGATGCATGTATAAATATATGACATGTACACCTAAGACTATCAAATTATATTTACTGCTCATCGTCAATCATTAAAGATAATGTATTTCACCACTTGCTAAGTCAACCATACTCAGCCACTTTGTTCCACCACATAAATTTAGTATGAGAGGCTACAAATGAGACCAACACAACAGATAATAATTTCCAATACTAATTGGTCTGGTGGTACGGAAACAAAGTGGCCGAGTTAAAGTGGTGAAATACGTTATCAACTAAAGATATTAAAACACAAGGAGAGAAAAAGAACTAGCAAAGATGTTTTTTAACGTAACACAACAAAATGCATACATACCTAAGTACATTCATACGCACGTACAAACATTAAACCATAAACTGTTAAAAAAGAAAAGGCTTTCAGAAGTAATATCATCACATGATAAAGAAGAATTGAGTAATGTTAATGAATATCAATAATAATACCATGAAGAATGAAGTACTAAAGAAAAACTAAAAAAGGAGAAAAACATAGGAGGTAGCCAAGAACAGGGGGGTAAGGAGGTGAGCGAGGAGGAGGGAAGAGGAGGAATAAGAGGCAATAGCAAGGGAGTTGAAAGAGTGGGAAAGGAAAAGTAGAAATAATAGAATCGAAACGAAAGGAGAACGAAATGAGAGACATAAGCGGCATTAAAAGCATAAAGAGCATTCCAAATGCAAAACGTTACCAAAAACAAAAAACAGACAAAAGAAGGCATAAAACGTCGCGGCGGGGTACGCATGCAAACCATGTTATTCCAATGCACCATCATCATATTCGCTCGTCGAGTCGTTACATCTTTTCCCAATAGAAAAAGTAATAAAACGATATAATGGGGAAAGTAAGAAGCAAGGGGGGAAATATTGTTAAAGAACAGAAACGGGAGCAAAGAAAAGCCTGCGCACGAAGGAGATGGCGAAATACGCATCGAGAAATTAAGCAAGTTGTTGGTGGAACGCGAAACGCATAGCCTGCCGTGGTTCATAAGGAGGGGAGATTGAGGGTTCTGAACAATTGCCTTTGGAATGGTACGGGGAGACAGGTGTCCGACTTCAATTGCCACCAGCTAAGGCGGGGAACAGATCACGGCCAAAATTACTGTGGTATAAGGTCGAAAATGAAAATGATGCCTCCCAGCTGTGACCCCAAGTAATAACAAGATAATTCAGGCCAACTCATAAAAAAATAGGATGAATAAAAAAGGAGAAAAAGAGAACGAGACCCGTGGCAAAGGTCAATATTTGTTGTTAAAAGGCAAAACCAGCGACCTCAAGCTAATTGAGAACAAGGGAAATGGGAGATTTGGAATGGGAATGGGTGTCATCAATACGAGATACAACAACCCCAGCATCCCCAATGACTTGATGCAAAGAAAGAGATCTCAAAGAGAACATAATGATAAACCAGAAAAGAAAGAATGCCTCCGCGTGTGTCGCGTATATATATATGCATATATACATATATATATATATATGAGTTGGGTCATTACGTCGTAAACGGTCATCATGTATTCGAAAGAGAAAAGAAACATGAAGCTGGATTTTGATGCTAACAAGACAATGCTAGGAGGACAGTAAGGAAAATATGAAAGAATTTCCCCAAAAGGGACAAAAGGTCGCGGTTACTCCAGGAAAGCTGAAAAGTGGGTTCTAATCTGGTGTAGTGGGGATTGACGTAATTATGTCTCCTTTTTTTTTCTTGTTTCTTTTGTTTTTTAAAAAATAAGGTCGTTCGTGAGCATGAGAAAGAAGGTTGTCAAAAGGCTCAATATTACCGTCCATTGGGAAAAGGCATCATCCACCTTATACTTATGTTGTATACCGCTTGGAAGAATTGCTGTGAACTAAAACTATGTATGCCGAAGTTTCAGGAACGAGGCTGGTGATTAAGAGAGGTGCTTCGTGGAACATATCATCGTATCGGTTAGGGGAACCATTAGCCAACATTCCGGAATCCCGCACGTCAAGAACCCAAAGCATTTTGAAAATGGCGGGGAATGTATCCCGACGGTGCACCAAAAAGAAATTTAAATAAAAGTGCCCATGCCCTTGTTCTCGCTCGTTGCAACTGCAACGAGAGCCTCTAAGCGCGCCATACCAGCACCCGTATGATTGCTGGAATTGCCCGAGTAGAAGACATGTCGTGGCTCGGCGTTTGGAGGGTGTGGAGGATGTATAGGGTAAGCGGTATTGTTAGTCTGAGATGTCTGTGGGGCACAGGGCTATGTCGTTAGTATTTGGTAAATGTGTGTGAAAAAAGAAGCATAACCCTGAAGTTGAAAAGGGAGTATTCACTTACATTGTGAGTATTTTCAGACCGGACACGGGAGTGATGTCCCTCAATACCGCCGTTGCTTGGTACGATTGCAGGGTGATATTCTGGCGCAGACCCAGATGGCGTTGCTACGCCTTCACTACTGCTCGAATCCTCCGGAGACGTGTGGACGGGTTGGTGACTACTTGCCGTTATTGTTGAGAGAGGCCCATTATACCATCCATGTCTTTTATTCTGGGTGGGGGTTGTTGGTCCATTAGGGCTTGGGCCAGCAGCTGGCTTTTCGCGAGGCCTGGGTGCGTCCTGAGCCTGGCTTATCGTTGATTCATGAGGTTGTTGCCGCGGTTGCGGTTGCGGCTGCTGGAAGGAAGTAGTAAATGGTCGTGATGCGATATTTCGGAGTTCCCCGATTGTTTGTTGACTCCACTGCGATGCGTCCTTGTTCGAGGATGAATTTCCACGGATATCGAGTTTGGTCAGGTTCTGATGAAGGGACATGTCAAATGAAAGATGAGCTCTCCGATGACCCGGTCCGGAAATGGGAGGGGGTCGAGCATTGGATGCCTGGGAGGCGAATGTCGGAGCAAAAACAGGAGCTGCATTAGGAGGTTGTAACGGCCTATCGACTTGCATGGGGGTCGGTTCCCGTCTTGGGGGTGTAGAGGGACGTTGCTGGACATGATCAAAACTTTCAATTCCAGGCAGGCGAGGTGGAGGATTTTGAGAATGTAGATTCGGTGCAAAAGCGGGTTGGGGCCTATCAGCCGGCTGGTTGAACCAAAGTCCACTGCTTGCAGGACGGCTGAAGCCTGTTTGTGAAGATGGATGCCATGTCCTCCTTCGCCAATCAGCTTCTGACGGCGACAGATGCGGCTCATCTTGAGGTGGTTGCGAGGTGTTTGGGCTCCCAAAAACACTTCCGCCATTTACGTATGATGAATTCGATGGAGCCAAAGGTCGAGCGAATGGGGGAGGATATGTACTCGCTGGGTCAAATTGTCGCACACTCGAAGGGAATGACAAACGACGTCCTGAGCCCCTTTCTGCCCAAAAGGCTGAACTTGCTGAGGCGGGTGATCCGTAATAATACCCTGCCGGATCCCCAGAGGGATGCGTAGCAGAAACGGGTGTAAACAGGCCGCTGCTAGGAGACTGAACAGAAAATCCGTGGATCTGGGCGGGTGGGGTTCTTGGGGGAGAGTTCATGGTCTCAAGGGATAATCTGGCTCTAGCAGTGCCATCACCGGCCATCATCAGGGGTGGTGGGCGGCGACGAATCTCCTGAGACTGGCTGTAACTGGATACGGTGGATCCAATACTCGAGGTTGATAAATTCTTGCCATGGCCTCGACTATGTCCTGAGATGCTGCCAACGGTACCTGCACGGTTCCTGCCAGGTGGTCTGACGCGATCAGTGCGGATTTGACGTTGAAACCGCGTTCCTGTAGCAGCAAGGGAGTCTCCGGGGATGTCCTCATTTACGTGTACAGTCTGAGCATGCTGTCGCAAATTGTCCAGGCGTGAAAACCGTCGAGAACAATGGCATTGAAAGGGACGTTCTCCAGTATGTTTCCTATATCAACCATATTAAATTTATTTCATAAGAGTAAGATGGGGTCTTTCAGAACCATACCTTATATGGCGGGCAAGGTGTTCACTTCTCGTAAAACTCAGTGTGCAAGGTGGGAAATCTGTGCAAAAGAAGCGCTGCCCCCTCTTCTTTTTTGAAGGAGGCGCACTATCACCCACTTCTACATCATTATCAGTCCCCGCATCCTGCTCTGCATCAGAGTCACCCACAGCGTGGTCCTCGGGTACAGAGGACTGGGCAGAAGAGCCCTCTCGACTATGTGTTCGACCGGGACTGTCTGTCGAAGCCGTATTCGAGACAAGAGGGCTGTGATTGGATCGTTTTTCAACATCGCCGTTCATCATTCCATATCCACTATCCCGTTCATTTTCCGCCGTTATATTGGACGAGGAGGCGAGAGGTTGAGTGTGCGACCTTTTCGAAAGATCTACGCGGGGTGTGGAAGAGGCGTTCGAGCTGCTAGTGGCGTCGTCCATATTTTGTCGTGCAGCGGTAGGAACCGAGTTAACGGGATGAAAGGACGACATCTTAGCCTTGCGGGCGCGATGCGACGAATATGAGTTCACCACGTTAGACGGTCAGTCCGTCACAGGTAGCCGAGTAGTGATAATGATTTAGCTACAAGTTGCCGTAGCAGTCGACCGTCGCCGTTGTGTCCCGTGGGCGAGCTAGTTCGGATGAAAGGTACCTAAGAATTATCCCCACTAGGCACTTTTCGTTTATTTATTCCCGAACGTATATAAAACGAGTTAATTTTAAACCAAACGGGCCTTTCTCACCACTTAAACTTTGGTGATAATGATAGCCCGTATTCCGCTCGATTTTTTCTCTGGCAACAAGGCCGGAGGGCGAGCGGCGTGGTCAAAAGCTGCCTCGACACTCCGAAAAGCCCCAATCCCTAGTGTTGGAGTATAGTCAGAACGGAGGCCTACGGCAGGAGAAGACAGGGCAGAAAGGTGTAATTTAGGCTGAGGACGACGGGAAGGAAGGAAAGGACCGACGCCAGCGGATTTTTGCGGAAAGGTGTTGGCGGTATACTCCAGAGAATAGGGAGGTGGCACCAAAGAAAAGCAAAATAAACGGTATGAGAAAGAACGGAGATCAGGTGCGCAGCAGCATGGACATTTGCTGGTTTCCTTTA